TTTAAACCCTCCAATGGGAGTGGGGGGGTGGCTGGTGGATATGTATATAGTTGGCCCTGCTGGCCGTTAGAATTAGTCTTTGTCTATGTGAAGTACAATAAACGTGTGCTACACCATGTCGTTGTCCGAGTCCTCCATGCGGCAAACCCAGTACTTTTCAAATCACCCTTTTAAATCTCCGGGGAGGGGAGGGAGAGGGGTGGCCACAGGTAGCCATTGTTGGGGGCGGGGCTGGGGGGTGGGGCTTGCCCCACCATCCAGTTGGCTGGCGGCAGGCTGAGGCCCTGAAAATCAGGGAACCCACTCCGGGGCCAGGGGACTGGCAACCCTACCCTCATAGAATTCTGTGGTCTCCATGATTCATGGGAAGACGGGAAGCAATAGTGAAAAAGTGGAGTTGGAGAAAGGTCTACAACTCCCATTCCTCCCTGACAAATTTGACTGGCCTTTAGCTAGCCATATGGAGCCCACCCCACTGAGTAACTCAGCCCCTAGAGCATGACGCCAGGATGAGCTGATTGACCCAATCACCATGAGCAACCTCAACAGGTCATGGGTGTCATAAGCAGTAAGCTGACTGTAATGGTAAAGATCCAGAAATGCTTACTGCCTGGACAATGAATGCATTTTAGGAAGAATGAAAAAGACAAATAATCAAGAAACTCCCAGAATACAGGGCCAGGTGCAGTTTGGTGCCCCTAAGGGCCGTCCCGCTCTAGGTGACCGCCTAGTTCGCCTAGTGAGTGAGCTGGCCCTGCTTACTGCCTGGACAATGAGCATGGCCCTGATGCCAGAGAAGCCTCTCGAAAATGGAGCAGCAGCAGAAGCCACTGGCCCTCCATTAGCATTGTCAGCTCTGGGTTGGGAAACTTCTGGATATTTGGGGGTGGGGCCTGAAAAGGTGAGGTTTGGGGAGGGGAGGGACCTCAGCAGGGTATAATACCACAGACTCCACCCTCCAAAGTAGCCATTTTCTCGAGGGGAAATAACTCTGTTATCTAGAGAACTGTTGTGATTCTGAGAGAGTTCCAAGCCGCATCTGGAGGTTGGTGACCCTACCTTCCATAACAACAGAGATGGTGCTAGGAACCCTGGGAAAGCAGCAAGAAGGGATTTAGGAGGAGCCTGCCACGTCTGCACAGAACCATTTATGCCCCAGCAGGGCAAGGCTGTGGAAGACTTCCACACTTCCCACAGCCTCTAGCTGAGAAGTGGCAAAGAGGCAGGAGAGAAGGAATCAATGAAAGGGCGAGCCCTTCCCTTCTTAACAACTGACGCCTAGCAAGCCAAGTGCAAGGATAGCCTAGGCAAGTAATGTGGCACTTAAGGAGGAGCAGCTATAACATGCAACTAGTGTTCAAATAAACTTGGGATCCTTCCAACAGTTAGTTACTGGTTTCTCCTTTCACAAAGCCAAAGGACCCATTCCCAAGACGTTCAGGGTGGTGGGTGAAGTCATATTTGTACAAGGTCCGAGACTCAAGCCACAGGAAACATGAATATTCCAGCATCAAAACTTGTACTCTTTCTCCCTTAGATATGGAATGACTATAAACTGCGATGGAATCCAGCAGAATATGATGGGATCGAGTTTGTCCGAGTGCCAGCAGATAAAATCTGGAAACCTGATATTGTGTTATACAACAAGTACAAACTCTCTTTCCTGATAACTTTTGGGCACTGATATATTTTTCTAAAGAAATGTTGCATTTTAGCATTGCACGCCACAATCTAAACTGTCCTCTGTCTGTATTTCCAGCGCTGTCGGGGATTTTCAGGTAGAAGGCAGAACCAAAGCTCTTCTCAAATACGATGGCACGATCACTTGGACCCCCCCTGCCATCTTTAAGAGTTCCTGCCCCATGGATATCACCTTCTTCCCCTTTGATCACCAGAACTGCTCCCTGAAATTTGGGTCCTGGACCTACGATAAAGCTAAAATCGACCTTCTCCTTGTTGGTTCCAAAGTGGATATGAATGACTTTTGGGAGAACAGTGAATGGGAAATAGTGGATGCTTCGGGCTACAAACATGACATCAAATACAACTGCTGCGAGGAGATCTATACTGATATAACCTACTCTTTTTATATCCGAAGGCTGCCCATGTTTTACACAATTAATCTAATCATTCCTTGTCTGTTCCTTTCATTCCTGACTGTGCTGGTCTTTTACCTTCCTTCCGACTGTGGAGAGAAAGTGACTCTGTGCATCTCTGTCCTACTTTCTTTAACAGTGTTCCTGCTGGTAATCACAGAGACAATCCCCTCTACCTCTCTGGTAATCCCCCTGGTGGGAGAATACCTGCTGTTCACCATGATATTTGTGACCCTCTCTATTGTCGTCACCGTGTTTGTGCTGAACATCCACTACAGGACGCCAACAACACACACGATGCCCACGTGGGTCAAAACTGTCTTCCTCCGTCTCCTTCCCAAAGTCCTGATGATGAGGAGGCCTCTGCAGAAACACGTCGAAGCCAAAACTAAAAAACTCAAAAAGGGCAGTACCAGTAAATCCAGCAAGCCAAAGGCTGGCGAGTTTGGAGAAGTGAAAGTCCGCAACGAACACAGGTGCTGTCACTGCGACAAACCCAATGAGCCGGACACGAGCAAGAAAAAGAGACCGAGCCCCCAGTCTGCGAAATGGGCAGCTGACCAAGTGGAATACTCTCCCGAAGTCAAAGAAGTCATTAACAGCGTGCAGTTAATTGCTGAGAACATGAGGAG